TTTATGAAACATTTTTCCTGAGGCATTTATTAATTTAGTACAAGATCATTTTACTTGGATTTATTCTTGACGTCACAAACATTATTAATTTATTTTACTATAATTAAGTCAATCAAGATTTAAAAAATCTAGCAAACCCTTGAACAGTCTCATTAAATTATAAATAATTAAAAGCGACAATAACAACAAAAAAGTAGTTATATTGCAATAAATATTGTAAAAACGACAATTATAATTATTTGGTGGCAGAAAATTGTTCTGAAAATTTAACATCTTTTTTTTAATCATTAAAATCACAATGGAGGCAACGCTATCTTATTTTTCAACAAACAATTAAATACAATCCAGATTTACAGTCCGATAGATGGCAGTAACAAAAATGTCGATAAGAATAAATATACAAACTATTATCTAATCAATGTATAAAATTCAATCTACATTTGCGTAGTTGTAAGAATTGATCAATCACACTTAAATACGAAGAGAATATCCGACTGTAATTAATGAATTGTTACAACTACGACCACTTAACAACTACGCAATTGTAGATCAGACTTAAAAGATTATAATTGGAGAAATCGCATTACCTAAGGCTCCAGGCAACAGTAACACCGGATGATCCCCTGTGCCGACCCTAGCATAATTAATTTCCATATTGTTCACTTTCACCTTTTGTTCCTGTTAACAAAAATGTATATATTTTACTTAACGTATGATAGCTGAAAGACGGTCCATAAAATGGCAGATGAGAAAACAGAAAGTAGTGATTCTGCATTTCTATTTCTGTATTTTCTCTATACACACCTCTATCTCATGAGCTTTATTTGCAGTAGTTGACAGTTGCCGAGTATGCACGGCTAGATTTTCGTATTTTATTATTTTATGTAATACACTCACGAAGCGAGCATACATCGTGTTGAATATACATATGTCACTTTATGACTGAAGTCTTTAAACTGCTAACAGCGCACATCGGCATCGTTATATATAGCATCATCGATTAAGAAGTAGCCTTTTGAATTAGATAGCCGATATCGGATTAACGCCATAACACGTAAACACGAAAATAGTAATATATATAAACATTATTCTTTTTAGCTTAGGTCATTATAGCCGTAAAACAAAATTATTTTTTTATCTATCTCTATCTCGTACTTATCTATGTATTTTCAAAAATATTAATTAACTTATATTATTTTTTTAGTTCAATATGAAACGATTAATATCGTAATATGATTGATTAAATTAATAACTAAAATAGTTATTTTGGTTACATAGCTAATATAATTAATTTCGATTATTTTTATTTAAATTATTTTATGTGCATTATGTAGATAAAATAAGAAAAAAGATAAAAATAAAATATAAATACATACATATATAATAAAAATTAATTCAAGCGCGATTAATATTTTTAAAAATAGATAAATGCAAGATAAAGAAATATTGAAACTATGATTAATATAACTGATTTCTTGTTTACTTTACGATAATATTGATAAGTTTAATATTTCTAATGGCTCAAATATATACATCACATATATATCATTACACAATGACTAATTGTGAATAATTTGCATTTTTAGCATTTTACGATTCGCATTTTTATTTCATTATTGCATCTGACTGAAATAATTAACTGAAACTATGATATAAACTGACCGCATTTTTTTTACCGTGAATACGTGCTGAAAGCATCTATTAAAGTACTTTGTTTTCTTTTTAGCTTTTATCTATAATAATCGCATCTGCAATAATAGTTATATTTGTTATATTTGTTAATAAGATTCATGTTCTTATGTAATGATACTATTGTATGTCGTCAGCAAAAAAATAGTAAAATCTATTAATGACGCGAAAAATATTTATCTTTTGTAAATATATATGTATCATTCCTCCACGTTTATTCCTATACATCGAACTAACAAAGTCGCAATTTTTAGAATTTGGAGAAACTTAGAGATTTCAACATGAAAACTTAAATTTACTCGGGAAAAGTAAAAATCGGGAAAGTAAAATAGAATGTTCAGAAAAATATAATAAACAAGGAGTTACATTAATTAAAGTTAATTAAAATTAAAGTTAATTAAAGTTACATTAATTAAAATTCTCAAAAACGCTATTCTATAAAAAATTTTTTAATTTTCGGAATTTGGACGCCAAAAAATTTATAATATCTTACTAGATAAATATTAATGAAACTAAAACATAATAAAAAATATATATCATGTATATATTGTTATTAAATCATGTTTTGAGGAAATTGCAAATTAATTCTTAATGGTTATGATCATTAAAATATTTATTTTAGAACTATACAGTAATGGTAAAAATGGAAACAAACATCAAATATAGATGTAATGTACAGACGATGATAGTAATGATCGAAAAACCAACGCACATGTTTCTACATGATAAATAAATAAATGTAGTGCAATTGTCTTAATGTCGATGATTACATAAATTTATAATTGTTCTTACAAAAGTCTTCCTACAAAAATCTTGCGAGATATAAACTAAATACATATACATAATTCATGAAGAATTTTGTCATTGTCATTCTTTTGAAAGAAAAACAATCTAATTTAAACTCGATAGTGCTTAATAAATCTCGAAAAAAGTGCAGAAAGTTCCGATTAATTGTACACTTAATTATAATCCTACCACTCGTAAGAATAATAATATTAAATGATTCAAAATGAATTTATGGTCATGGCTTATCATGAATCTTGTTGATTACGATTGCTCTGTGTTCGATCGAGTGCCCTATGATATTCTTCCATCAGATACTTTTTGTATTTCGTCTGATTATTCCATAGCTCTGCTGCTTCAAGATTAAGTGGACTTTCGTTGTTAGGTTCTATGTAACAAAGTGTGAAACGAAGTAGTATCTCACATCAATATTGATTTGTATTACACTTTATTTATTACTTACCACCAAGAAGAGATTGTATGGAGAGTAAAATAGTACGGACGTCATACAGTGCGCTCCATTTGTCTTTTAATATATCTAGACAGATATTACCACCGGTATCTACATTTGGATGAAAGCAAGGTGTAGCAAAGCGTACTATGGGAGCACTATATGGATAGCTATGTGGAAATTCTAAGGTTAATTTGTAGGTGAGACCGGCGTATACCTGCAATACATAACATTTTCATTATACCTGCACTAGAGATTGAGATCAAATTAGAATGTAATCAATTCGAAAAAAAAATTATCAAGTTTAATGAACTTTATTTTGATTGATAAAATTTTAATCCAATCTTAGTCATCTATTTCGTGACTCTTAACTGCAATGTAAATATTGTTATACTGTCATTGCACTGCTTTTTTTACATGGAAAAAACAATTTTGCTGAAGTATCTAAAAATTTAGCCAGATCTGAAAATAATTCTGCTGAATCAAATAATTATGTAGAACGCTTAAAAGCATTTATAACAATGCTATAAAATGTTTTAACATTCTAGCAACCGTTTGAGCATCAACATAATTATTTTGATGGGCCAACCAAAATTATTTTTAGAATTATTTTCTGTATCTAATTAAATTTTTAAATATTTCAATTTTTCAAAATTTGTATATAACATCTACTCAATGATAATGTAACGACATCAAATGCTGTTGATACTCTCTAAAAATTTTTAGAATGAATCCTGTTCTGGAGTGAAATTTCTCTTAAAGATTTTTATTCTTTTTCAAAACTCTCAATTTTTATTCTTTATATAGAGTGAAATTTCACTCTAAAGAATTTAGAGAGTAAGGAAAAAGTCTTAAAGTCTTTTTTAGCTGAGCAGCTAATTTTTAATTTTTTTATGTTTTTTTCTCTTTTTTCTCCAGCATGGAAAGAATTCTATTGGGCTTTCTACAATGATTACTTAAGCTTTAAGTTTTAAGCCATAAGAAATTGATCATCACAGTTGAATGTGAACAGAATAATCATTTATAATTGGTCAAAGACTTAAAGTTTTGGTAATGACTTATTGTAGAAAGTCATATCTTTAATATTTAGTCTGATACAAATTGTAGACTTTTTTGTTATATTAGAGGTAATAATGTTATTCAAAGTAGAGAGATTTTCCTACCGTATCTCTTGGTCCCGTGATAGTTCCGATCCATTTAAACAAATTTTCTCCCTCTGGAAAGGCAGATACTCCTTGTTCGGTACTCATCATCAATACCATGAGTTCCTTCTGTAATCTGGACAATCAAGAAGTAAATTCAAATATTTCCACACAAGTAAACATTTCGATGAAACAAGTTATAGCTAATTACAACGAAGGAGAAAGATAGACTATTACAAAATCAAATATTGTAAAATATTCCTGATGAATCGCGCTTAATCAACAAATCAAAGTTCAGAGTCCACTAGGTTATGTGACTACAGTGAACAAAGCGATATCGATTATGCCGCTTGAATTCCTGGAATATTCGAAAAAATTTCAATGGTTGTGAACGGGATGATTTGAACGGTCAACTCGAAAGAAAACTCGCCAGTCAGCTCGTAATTCATATTAATAGACTTGATTCCGCATACCGTTTACTGACTGCATGATTGTCCTTCGGCAAGCTCTGTTTCTCTTCGGTTGCCTTGGTCGGCGTGTTTTGCATCGAGCTGAACGGATTCACGTTCTGTGCCATCCTGAGGCACCTTGGTGTCTTCCTGGGCGACGAATCAACGAGAAGTATCGTCTTCACAGAGCGAGGGTTCCAATCTCTTCGTCTCTCTTTCTCTCTCTCTCTCTCTCTCTCTCTCTCTCTGCGACTCTGACTTACTCGATTGACCGTCACAACAGCACGATGGAAATTTGAATGCTGCACGGCGCCCTATTATCCGGCTCGAAAACATCAGGTCGCAAAACAGCTGTTGTCGTCGGGCGGCGACGCGTCGCGCGGATTTTCCGATTCTTCCTCGTCTCACGTCTCCCGTCGCTCAACATTCCGTCGCGTGTCGTCTTCGGACCTGCAAACAAATGGAATTTTTAAATTGCATATAAGATTCACCTTCGGATTCGAGATATCGCGTTATTGTTGGTATTCAACCCTTTCGGTTGATCGATAACGTTGTTGATAACGGCGTCGCCTAGCATTTGTTCTCGGAAGAGAACGCGAAGAGAGACTTGGAGATTTCGGCGAGACGGACAAGCTCGGCGTAGCGCGATTGCGATATATTGATCGACATCTTTTCTTTCTCGTCCTAACGTGATAATCAACGTGAAACACCAAGGGAGATAACGTGGACGATTCCGGACTTTCGCGACATGTAGTATCGTTCACCAGAGTGTAGGTTGCGTCGAGTACGATTGAACGAATTCGAACGAATTCTGCCCGAGCGATGGGATTGCTTGATGATGAGAGTAGATTCGTGGCCTGGTGATCCTAAGGTGGCGAAAGTATGGCAACGGCGCAGGGCACACCGGAGTCGGACACTGGAAGCTTTGAGTGTTTCAGAAACTACACAGCACCGGAGGTGTTTGTGCAAGGCCTGGCTGGCATCGTCGATCAGCAGGATGTGGAGTCTATGATACGTGCACAGAAACAGATGTAAGTTTCAATTCTTATTTTCTAGACTTGTTCGTTTTAAACGTTTCGTAAGGCTCAGATTCACAACTCACAGTTAACTCTTAATCGAGATTCAACTTATGTCTCATCTCTTTCCAATTCTAGCATTGGAAAGAGATCAGGAATAAGTTAAAGTTAAGAGTTAATCACAAGTTAATCGTAAGTTGTGAAACTGAGCCCAACTAAACTTCTTGACCTTATTGCACATTTATTTTTTCCTTCTTTTTTTTTCACATTGATGAAGTGAAGAAAAAAAGAGAACATGTGGTCACATACATAAGAAACACAAAGAAACTCAGTTAAAAGAATAGTTTCTGTCAATTTTAATTTCAAGTATGTGACTTTGTCATTAAACGTTTTTAAGTAACAATTTTAATTTGTCAT